CGTGTTGGGAGAATTTTTTCTGGTTGCGGAGTTTTTATCGGTTTTTCGTGTTTACATGTGCTATATGTGCTTCAGGTGCATAATATACCCCCCCCACGCTCGACAGCTCGATCAATGGAGGGAACTAGGGGTGGGAGGGGAGGCGGGAGGAGTCGTATGAAGCCACCTCCCAGGGGGTCGTCGCACAGACACGACCACAATCCCAACCAATGATGTGCCCAGACTGGGACGAAGCTGGGGAGTAGTGACACCTGGGTGCCGTGTCTGAATCCCGCCTGCCTTACTGCACACCCGCCCACACGCCTAACCATGGGTGATATTTCACTCTCTACCTGTCTGCATCCTCTCACATCCATTTGTTTGCTACCACTTTGTCCCTGTGACCCTACACTGTGTGGTCACTGCGGGATTTTGGCGTCGGCGCGAATGTTGCTTCCTTCTTGAGGATAGAGCTGGCAGTCTTCACGCCGCTAGGGGCACCAGAGAACAGAGCACTCGAACCCAGTACCCTTCAGCCTTATTTCCGGGCGCTCTCGAACGACGAAAGGGTTACACCTGTACACAGCGAGCCTGTTCTACTCGCAAATAGGAAGGACCTCCTTCGGAGGTGAATGTGCAAGTCGCCTTCGAGTTTTTGAAATTTTTCAACTTCTCGTCGATCACGACCCTCAATCCAAAAATCTGCTGTTTACTCGCTCCTTTGAATAAGTTCACTCATAACAAAACATACTCCTAATTGAAAAAGATTATCTGGGACCAACGCTGGCTGCCGTGTTTGCTTAGATGCCGCAAAACAATGATGCGATGAACAACTTGCCTTGTGAAGTGCCTCCAGTCAAAAAGAGACACTGGTAAAGCTCGCGATTAGTCCACCTCATTATTGTTTTTCAGCGGTCGAATCAAGAAGCACTAGTGGAACTTGAATATGGAAAGATGCCTCTCAACCGCACTCGACGTGGCACCTCCTTTTCCGGTAAAGGGTCGTCCTACGGTGATGATGTGACTGGAACGCCTCTGGAATCAGAATGTCCTGGTGAGTGATTGCAGCAGCGGATTGGCACAGATGAAACATAAGATTTATTATTTAGGTTGCTGTATCCCTGGCCCACCCGGCCCTCGTGGTCCTTCAGGAACTCCTGGAACGCCGGGAACACCAGGACAAGCTGGTAAACCAGGGATGCCTGGAGTTACTCCCAATCAAACATGCCCGATGAACATCATGCGTGAACCGCCACCATGTCGACCGTGCCCGAAAGGGCCACCTGGAATCAAGGGATGGCCTGGCTTCCCAGGAGATGTTGGACCACAAGGTCCACCTGGAGAGGTAAGGGAATCCGCTTCGCATATAGGAGTGACGACTGTTACTAATTCGAATATTTATTGCAGAAGGGAATGGATGGCGAAGACGGTGCACCCGGAGAGACGGGACCAAAAGGACCACCTGGTTACAAAGGAGGACCAGGAGCACCAGGAGACAAGGGACCAACACCGGAGGGAGATCTTCGCGAAGGTCCACCCGGTGACGAAGGACCGCCAGGACCTATTGGAGCCAGTGGAATGCCAGGACTACCCGGTCGTAATGGACTGACAGGGCCACAAGGAGAACGAGGTTGGCCTGGATCCCCAGGTGAAACTGGTGAACCAGGATATCCTGGACCAGAAGGACCAATGGGAGGACAGGGACCACCTGGTGAGCCAGGTGTTTGTGTATGCCAGAATGTCGACTCTATACTTCTTGTAAATCCTGGACCACAACCACGACTTGCAATTGGAGACGATGGACAATCACTGCCCGCTATGAACTATGGCAAGGTAGGTGGTTACGGTAGATGATAATTGTGAAGAAAGACTAGGGGTCGTTTATGCGTGTACATGTCAAACATTCCTCAGTTGTAAGCGGCTCGAACTGCTACATTTCGTATATAATTGATTGTTACGTGTTGAATAATAAATAACTATATTATTCGTCATAAATACTGCGGTACTCGGTTTTGTAACAGTGATAAGTAGCAGCGGTTTTATCGAAGGCAAGCTAACAATATTCACAATGAAGAACAAGAATTCTGAGGAGAACGTTAAGTGAGCGAATCGGCAACTTCCCGTTTGATACCACAAATCGAATATATCTTTGCAGACTTTAAGAATCGAATTGCCTCAGAATGATCGGGATGAGCGGACCATTCTACCGCGTTCGTCGATTGATGCAGTCATCTTGCCGTCCTTCCGTAAACACAAAGTAGTACATTATCAGAAATAGAAGAAAACTGAGTGGATAGAAGACGCGGCAGAAGATGTCCAAATATCTGCAAAAATATGTCAACATTTTTGAAGAAGAACTTGGAGGAATCTATAAGGTGCGGTTGGAAAATGGAATAAGCTTAAAGGCAGCGCCCACGTTCACTTGATGTTCCTACGCCCTTTCTGGATATCATAGCCCTCCCCATAAGGATGCAGTATGTACTAGTTTTGCATCTCAGAAAGGCGAGAGGATAGCGCCTATCGCTAGTAAAGAGTCGACCGCCCCGCCCACCTGGCGACCACGACGCCCAACTTCATTTCTAATGGTTGCCTGATGGTGCGGTTGTTCCATTGCTGCTTCTCTCCACGTCGTGTGGTGAGAGTGAGGTGGATAAGGAAAACAAACTGAATGACCCATGCAGAACTGTGCCAACCATTTTGCTTCTTTCCCCTTGAGACAGGCCCGCGTATGGACTCTTGGCAGGGTTGCTAGGGCGTCACTATTGCCGTAGCCGGCTGGCCAATGAAGCACTAATCACACACACACGCGCGCAAAAGGTGTGGAAGAGCGTGAAATAAGACCCTATGAAATTTAAGGCATGTGGACGAGTTTCGCAAACTTCTGGTGAGTTCTCCAATACACGTCGCCGCCTCGGAACTCTAGAAATTCAGCGTATATCACGTATATCAATGCCAGCAAGCATTGATAACTGTCAACCAGTCGGGGCGGGGATTAACAGGACAGGAGGCGTCAGCCCGGCTCTGTTGACTCCGCCCTCGTCAACCAATCGATTTCGAGCCGCAAGAGTGGGATTTCTGCTGTGATTGCGGACTCCGCGTTCGTTTTCAATGGAGGGTTTTTCACTTTGGTTGATCGCGGACGCTGCCTTTAAGCCCATAACAACCCTATTCGGTAATGAAACTCCTCTATAGGGCATTTTTGACCGCTGTTTCTTTTTGATTTTTCTTCACTAATAGGTTTCTTTCTACCTTGCTATTACTACCTGAGCCGCATACTCATCAAATTTGAACGCGGGCGCTGCCTTTAAGGGCAGTGCACGATGAATCCTTATGACTAGTAGGATTGATACGCCTGGGAGGACGGAATTCCAAATGAGCAGACGCTGCATAGTGCCTTTTCAAGGAATCTGCTCTTATAAGCTCTATCAAGCTGCAACATACCGACCCGGACGCCCACCGCGCCCGCCCGCCCACAAATGGACGACTGTACCTATGCTCATATCGCTTCATTTGCGAAGTAAAATGTGAAGTGAAGTGTAAAACGCGTTGCATGGATATATGAGCACAGCTGTACCTACCGTGCCGGCTAGTGGCAAGATGCCTACGGGAAACTCGTCCGAAATCGCTTTTTTGAGTCATTAAGAACGAAGGCTTTTCTTCGCAGGTTTTTGACCGTTTCACTTCGTTTTTTCGCCATTTTCCCCCACTATATAGCAATCTGACCATTACCAATCTGAGCATTTTAGACCGAGTAACAAATTATCGTGCCATATGCCTTTAAATAAATTCGGAGACCGCTTAGCTATTTCTATCATCACAACGATGGCGTGCCCTGGTACCACATCCGCTTGAACTCGACTGTAAACGCATTGATTATAGTCGAGTTCAAGCGGATGTGGTACCATGGCACGCCATCGTTGTGATGATCACAACGGGGGGGGGGTCGTATTTGAGCGCGAGGGAGGAGGGCCGTATTTAGCGGAAAATAATCACAACGCGATGGCGTGCCCTTTGTGGTACTGGTACTCCAAGTACGTAGGTGTGCAGCTGCAGTAGCATACCCCTTTCTCCGCATAAAAGTGCACGACAATGGGCTGCAGGGTAGTGATATGCCGTTGTGGACTTAACCCACTGGCAAGCGCAGCGCCCCGTAAGGGCGAAACCTGGGCGTAAACTCCATATCCCAGAGATGCGGAGGGCGTGACTGGCCACTTTCTCCAACAGGGCAGTCTATAAACTTCTCCCATGACATTTTCGTTCCGGAACTAGAGTAATTACGTTTTTCAGCGGGCAAGTCAGGCATGTCTGTTGTAATGATCGAAACGAAAACAAGTCTAAAAAGTAACTCATACTTTAGCAAACGTTCTAATGAAGTACGGAGCCACGCCCTACCACAATTTCGACAAATACAGTCAGGCGCGCTACTTGTTTGTACTCTCCCACGTGCGGTTGTTCGCATTTAGTTTGGGTGGCAAGCCTTCAGACATTTTGCTATTCAGTGAATGCTCGAAGGTGGGATCGATTGGCGCTTTCATGCGGTGCACGGGTTCTAGACAGCGCGTGGGGCCAAAACGTCCGCACAGCAGTTTTAGTCCTTTCTGTGCAATTTTGGGGGAGAAGTGGTATATGTACTACCTCACCCAAGGCAAAGACCAGGATCTTTGAAAGTGAGTGTAAGCGTTTGTCTTTGACCTGCTCTGATCTCATGCTGTCAGACTCTTGGGTCATAATCTCCCTAACTGTTCGCCGACCCCGAGTAGACTATCCACAATAGATATGCTCACGGCTCTGCCCAGTTTTGTGTAGCGTCGCAGCTTTAACGCAACATCATCTCCCGTACTTCTTCGCGTTATATATGCCAATTTCTGCTTTTTCATTGTCCCATCTTCCTTCTGAATGCTGCTACGCAATGAGTTTGTAGTCCATAACTGTTAAGCAGGGCCTGTTTGCATGGCTCATAACGAAGGACATCTAGAAGTCCAACCAGGGATATTACGTGTAATCTTGTGTCTTGGGCCGAAAAGCGAGGGATTATGTTAGTCACTTAAACAAAACACGGCGCTGCTGTCAATTGAGAGGCATTTGTTACGCGACTTCGCAATCTCAATCGGAAGCATTTCTCGAAGATCCTTTCGATTTTTAATGTTCTTGCGTTGCCCAACCGCGCTGGATTCCTGTCCTTACCGAAGCGGACTAGTCACTCGGGCAAGCGATAGTGAGCAGAAGTTACCAATTGATTGATCGTTTGTCGAAGCCGATCACGAACAACGTCTGTAGTAATGTGAAAAATACGAATCCCGTGATGAAACCAAACCAGAGATCAATAGCCTTGAAGAAAAGGGCATTTATTCAACAAAATAATTTTGATAAAAATAAATAAATAATAATTAAAGAAGTAAATAATAGTATCAACAAATACTTAAAAAAAGCGATTCGCAACAAGACCTTCTAAAAGCTTACCTTCAGATAGGAGACACTTGGTAGATGCTCTCGAGCACCAGCTGATTCTGTGGAAAGGGTAAGCAAAACGGTGATAGCGACACCGATTCGACCCTCCATAAACTCTTCGGGTAGCCAAACCCCAACCTGTAACTGACCAGTATAAAATGTGACTTTCGTGGTTTTGTGGGCCCTATTTGGTGCATGTTCGTTTTTTTCACGGTCGATGGACCAATAGAACGTCAAAACATTGGTGAAAGCGCGGTAGACTTTCTGTACATAGTGGACATAGCTGGAACTTCTGAAGGGTGAGAGTACTGCAAAGGAATAGTGCTTGAGCCGGGGTATCTGGAGATCTTGCCCCATCAAAAGTGATCGCAATGAGATCAGTCTACATGAAAAACTACCCAAAAGAAACTTCACCTCATAAACCCCCCCCCTTCCCCTTTTTTCATCTCACAATGACTTAAGGCTTCGATCACGTCGGTTCCCTCCCGCAGTTCATTTCGTAAACAAAAGAGTGCTTAGCGCTCGCTAGTCACTAGCCTCGTTCGCGCTGCTGCTTCGTATTCGACTTTGCGTAATCCGCACTGCAGATTACGTGGGGGGAACCGATTTTTGACAAAAAATTGAGAACAAGGGTATCAAATTGAGGGATCTTGGGCAGGTGCGCTACAGAACCTACGACCTGACCGAAAAAAAGTAAAGTAGATTCACCCAAGAGAACATCAACGCCAACGAAGTTGGAATGTAAGTTTGAGCGATGTGAAATCCGACGTCTCTCTTGAGGCGGAATACAGCTCGAAGGCAGGAAAAGGCGCCTAAAATAAAAACATTAATTCATGATACTTATTCCAGCCTCTAGCCTGCATATTCATGGTTAAGACGTGCGCTTCTTCCTTTTTTAGTGCTCGTCGTATGCGCGAAGTCGGACTGACCGCTAAGCTTTTATGGTTACATAATGCTTCTCGCACTACGGCCCTTCTTCTGAGACAACAAGAAGGGACGTGCCTAGAGGAAGCACGGTTGAAGGCCCAGTGGCCCACTCCCAAAACTTCACAGTGGAAATCGCAGAAGTATTAGGTTGACCGGAAAGTTTCCCGCCACGTGTTTGATCGCACCATATTAGCCTTGCATGTATGTTTATGACTTATCGTGGGGTGTGCATGAAGCACGCAAGAGACTCTTTCACATCACTACTCACACTCACCCAGCTTGCATTTGGATTCCAAAATGCCGCCCAAGTTTCAACCCGACAGGATGCACCTGAGGCACTGTCTTCTTTTCCTTCATCAGTCTGGCTTAAACGCAAAGGAAGCCCAAGCCAAGATAGTGGATACATATGGCGCTGACGCTATCTCTCACGACACGTGCAAGACCTGGATGGCCAAGTTCAAGAAAGGAGATTTTTCTCTCCAAGATGCTCCAAGGTCCGGCCGGCCGATGGAGTTAGACTTGAAGTTGCTGCAATCCACCGTGGAAGAGGATCCGTACGCCACTACCAGGGAACTTGCAGCGATGCTCGGCCAGCCGCATCAAACTGGTTGAATCTGGGCTGGTAGAAAGACTGGTATACGTCCGGCAAAGCTTGGCCGTTGATTCCTCACCAATTCAATGGCGGGAAACTTTCCGGTCAACCTAATAATTCAGTTAGGTGCGGTGTATTAGATAGGTTAGTCGGAAGGCTTAGCTGGCTCCTAGGTGCCGCGTGATAGCGCTTTCTTGCGGATTTTGCAGCTGAAAATGATCCACCACCACTGTGCCCCAACGTCCTCGTCAAACCAGGGAGCTTTTGTGAGTAACAGCCAGGGCAAGAGTCTCCTCAGCCTGTGCGATGCCAAATTGATGTACAGTTAATAACGTTGTAATCAGGGTATAGCATCGTGATGTGTGAAATGGTAGTGTAGGTGTGGCTCCCCCCCCCCCCCCCCCTCCTAGAAAGAATCTCAGTACGACTCCCCTCCGCGCCAACACCTACCTACCGACTTCCCACATTTTCAGGTGAAAATTTTGAGACTGGGGGAGGGGAGTATGTAGTACACATAAAACAGGCAAAATAACGCGAAATGTCAACAACCGGGAAAAATTTCCTCCCAACGCAGCAATTTTCTCTCGAATGCCACGACTCCGCCCCTCTCCCAGTGACCAAACGAACGCCCAATCGTCCCCAGCGGAAAAGTACGACCTCCTCGTGAGTTTCACATCAATGATGCTACACATACCCTGGCTGTAATCTGTCGGGACGGTTTCAAGAGGGCTGGAATGAGCCCACTCGCCGTGTTCAAATTACTGGTTGTTTTCTTCCTAATCGGATTACTAACCGATTATTTGAGGAACAAGGCAACCGAAGGCGGATTCATTCCCCCTTGTGCCTCCCCCACCCCTGTTGGTAACTAATCCTGGGTATGTAATGTGGGGATTGTGCTAGTCCAGAAGCACGAAAATCGGTCGTCTGGAAAGTTTTCTATGTACATGGTGAAGGAATGTAGCCTTTAGTTCTAAAGATCCAGTCGGCCCCCCCTGTAATTGTTTCGTATCAACTCACCTGACTTTCTTGTCTTCTTGCACAGTGTTGGTTCATAACGGTCAATATACAGCTCCGGCAGCTTAACATCAGGATTCTTGTCGATGGCGTCAACTCGGCGTGTGAACCATTCGAATCGTACAGTCTCTACGGGATAGGCGACTGGAAGCAGAGAGGATATATTGGCAGAACAATAAGCGGAATCATTATCCAATAGAAACTTGAACTAAGGTGATTGCTACATTTGCGCGTACTCGATCACTCAAAATAAGGGTTTTCCTAAAGGAGAAGAATAACTGAGAACTCACAGGACTTGATAAGCAGATCGCAGGTTTGCTTGTCGTGTGGGTACTTGCACAAGATGAGATTGCACGACGGTTTGATCTTGACGCTGCAAATGAAGTTCCATAGAATACTCATTCAGGTCTATGAGACCTTAGGCTGCTCTATAGTCAAAGCTAGCCACCCTTACAGTGTTGCTGCTGCGGGTGCTGAGGTGGGTGAACGAGCCCCGGTTTGGCCGGCGCCACTTCTTCTCACCACTTTTTCTGACCAACAACCGCAAACAATTAGTGGGAAAGAGATAGCCGCTCTTCCGCAGCGAACAAAACTGTACGTAAGCCATTCAGGACTGGATAGAGCTTGTAAAACCAACTGCAAGCAGCTAAATGGCAAAAAGGTGACGCCAGCCGCAGCCCTACTACACCTTCGCCTGAGGTCAGCTTAACCTATCGATGACTAGGAATTAAAATTCAATTGGAAAATATAATCAATTCTAAAATGTTTATATTTAAAAATTTAGCGAATTTAATATCTTCACCGTGTTTCATAGAGTACCAGTCCATCAGGGAATATGCGCATGAGGAAGTTGAGGAAAGTGACTTCGTGGAACTCGGCCTCCTTTGCGTTTGCGAAAAATGGGTCAGGCCTCCAATTTTTCCAGAATTTCTTCCTCCTTGACCAATATTGGTTTATCGTACGGATTCACAAGCCGCGCATCTCTCCATGCCATCATAAGGTAGATATCCATATCGTAATCCTGTAACAGTGCTGTCTCAGTTGACTCAGATGAACGGAACTTGCGCTCTAAGTCCTCAAATAAAGAATTCGGACCAGATCCTGGAAAAAAACACACGAAAAAAATAAACACACACCACAAACTCACTAAAAACACAACATTTTTACAGAAAAGTAAAATGTTGTGTTTTTTATGTGGAGATAAGTAAAAAAAAACTTTACCATAGTCGATGTTTGAAAGTTGGACATCGACTCTATGTAGATACCAAATCGAACAACAACGGCACTTCCCTGAATAATAGCTTCGTATTCTACTGCACAAATAAAAGGTACTTAACGGTAGAACAACTACAAGTGATGCAGAAGTGAGCCTTATAGTTACTAAAGAACGCGGGCCAATAAAGCTACCGGAAAATGAAAGAAACGGGATACCTGGAAGACAATTGGGGCGGAGAAAGGATCATATTGATTCTTGTTCAGTACAGGAAGAATGAACGATCCACCCAATGTCCTGCAAGCTACATTTTGAATAAAGGGTTCAATTACTGTCGTTGAGAGAGCTACGAACAAGATTCTTCAGACAGAGCTACGAACAAGATTTTTCAGACAAGGTTTCGAGGGGGTGACCTTGTGAGGAGTGCAGGATGTGCTCAAAAGATCCTCAGTGCACAGGTGATGTCAGAGGCGGACCTTCTGGGCAACGCCCTCACGCGAATGGGAAGGGAAGTTATCACGTAAGTAAAAAGGAACTTTACAGTGCCGTTCGTGCAGGAAGAATTATGTAGATTGAGTGACCCACTCAGAAATAATGGAACACAAGCCATGTAGAAGAGATAAAAAAAATCCTTTGAGTAGGCTTTAGATAATACCATACTAGGTTATGACCTCATTCGAGTAGAGAACTTCGGTGGGCCAATGGAAATAGTACTCTAAACTTCTCAAAACGCAAGGGGCGGGTTTGTAGCGTTACTTTCCCATTTGCGACATTGTAGTACGAGTGTACCTAGGGTAAAAGAGTCTACATACGTGCAGTGGTACTGCCGTCCTAAATGGCTGCGCCATGACTCCATCTCCATAGTCAACTTATCCGGGTTGCCGCGACTGGAATGTGAGGCTCCACATCCATAAGGCGTATTTCCGAAAGGTCACAAAGATAAACGCAGCAACGCGCAGCGAAAGGTTCATGCAGTACCGTTCGCTGAGGACAGTGGAGCGTTTCAGGTGGCCTGGGTTTTGCGCCACACTGTTCTTCACCAACTATGGGAGCTGGCAAGCAACCAAAAATGGTGGAGAACAGGCTGGCGCTGCACCAAACCTAGGCCACTTAAAGCGTTCCACCGCATGTAGCGAACAAGGCTGAGCACAGCAACAGCTTTTTGGGTTTTTTTTGCTTTTCTCAGTGGCTCATTTGGTCCTGCGTCTTATGTATCCAGATCATTCATATGTTCATATGGATAACAGCAAACCAAAAAACATGCGAAAATTGGGCGAGAAAGAAACATTCGAGGTCAAGCTGCTCCCTATATGTACTCCAGAAATCGAGTAATTGTGCTTAAGTTCGGTGACTTGTTCGTTGAACTGGCAAGACGTACATAGACCTACTTAATAGAGGCGTTTGTTCTGCTGAGAATGTCGTCTACCTCAGTGTCATTCCGTAATTTTTCAGCGAGTGCGGTCAGATTTACACCAGCAGCTTCCAAAGCCGTCATGTTCAAACCGATCGGACCTTCGATCTCAACACCTGCGGATGACGAGACTTATTTTTGATTTATCAATATTTCAAACTAAGCAGTTTTGCATCCTTTTACTTTAGTAAAAAAAATGACGGTACGTCTGACTCACCTTCGAAACTGCTACTGTCGAATTCGTCGATAGCTTTTGGTACGTAATCAGCACAAAGTCCTGGTAGGTAGAGCCCAACCTCAAAATAAACTAGTGTTAAAAACTGCGTCTTCAACATTTGTTCCTCAAAGGCACGGTCCGCGATCATGTATAGAAGTTGAAAACATGGCGTCAGGAGGTAGTGTAGCCCTCAGCGAACAACACTTGTACCGGTTTTGCAGCAAAAAATTGGCAAGCGAGGGGCCTTATAGCACTAACTAGGTCCAGTGATACCTCTTTTTTCCAGTGACTCCGCCTCCAGACTTCCGCCTGCAAGGCCCGCTTTCAGTGAAAAACGAGATTGCAGGACGAAAGCATGAAAATCGTCACTTAGCCGGTCGCAGATGTTCTTATCAGAGAATCAGCTGTGTATTTTGAGGACGTAGTTTCGGAGGGAGCTAACTCGGCAGCCTGCACTGTTATGAAAATGGGGTTCTATCTAGGGCAATTGATGATTTTTTCTGTTTTTCTTCACTATCGGGTTACTCAGAAGCTTGTCGTCTATATGCAAGCCAATAACTCGGTATCTGTGATGGCTAATGAGCGCGAAGCTTTGCCTTCAAAAGCATGGACCGCGATAAATCAAGGCTAGAACCTCTACGATGACCAGGTAGGCACCCGCAGAGACTGTACAATATGCAAAAGTTGGAAACTGGCCTTCAGATCGCAGGGCGCTTCGGTTTTAGGCCCGTGGGCGACCAATAGGCCCATTCCGGCCTCCGGCTGACCGCCCGTTGTTTTCTGCCTCTGTCGTCTCTTGTCAGTGTGTGCGCCTGATTTGGCCATTCAGGTCGCCTCGTTTTGCAATTCACAGTTGATTTTAACCATCTTACGCTTATCTGGTGAACACGGTCAAGCAATAAAGAGGGTCTTATTGCGGGCGGTTTTTCAAACTTTCTTCTCCTCCAGTAAGTCGATAGGCACACGGCAATTCTATTTCTGAACTGTATTACCTATAAAGTGCGGTGTATCGCGGGAATTGGAAATTGCCGGAATCAAATCGCGGGAATCCGTGGGAATTGCCTTCAGGGCAGCTCGCAAGGTTCCGTTTCATTTTTAGATTTCCACCTCTCCCTGGGAACCGTAACATAATCCTCCTGCTGTCGTAGATTTTTATCCTTTTGTGACAAGACTGCGAGATGGGGAATTGGTTACTAGCGTTCCGCAATCGCCAAATCCTTAAGATTCCACTGTCCGCTGTCGGAGTGTAGCGGATCACTACTCTCAGCTCGGTGAGCATGATCGTTGTGGTGCCTACATGGGGTCGTACCGTACACAGCCACTACGGACGAGAGGCGTATATAAGCAGCTTGTTGTCTTCATAGACGATATTAGGCGCTTGCATCCTTACCCTCGACAGATCTGACGCCGTACTTTGTTAAGTAAATGGGGTGAAACTCTACCGGTAAAGCTCCACTGGTAAAGTTCTAGAAATGAAGTTGCCAAGCTTCTAGACACCTACGCATTTGGTGGTTTCGTAAGCAGCCGTGGGTCAATGTGTCTGTGAGCACTTAGTCTCAGCTACGTGACCAACCCGATCAGAAGAGAGATCAGGATGCAGGACAAAGACATGATTACAGTTGCCTCAAAACCGCAATATCTCCACTAAGGACGCAACCGCCGAAATGGTTTAAGTGAGGTACACTGCCACGCCCTGCCTATCTCTGGCATATAGGTGTACTCATAAACCATCCAAGCTTTAGAGATCGTAAGAGTGATTTGAATTCATCCGTCCGTTCACCTACCTCCTGCCCGAAAACAACCTCTCCCGTTTCAATGATACTGGGGTCGATACTAGGGGAAATTGGCTTAGAATCAGTTGCGAGCTGGCACCTAGCAGTGGAAGTCGTGTCATTGAGAAAAATGAGTTTCATAGACTCGGACCTTTTCATATCTCTGAAGAGAATCAGCTGGTATTTTGAGTTGAAGTCCATCGATTGCCTCTTTAGACGAAATCA